TCCTCCTCCTCCTCCTCCTTTCTTCTTCTTCATATTTAGTACAGGATCTACAGGGTCTCACTACTACATCGGACTTGTAGTGATTCACCTGTGTTCATCCTCCCAAGAGCTGGGATTACAGGCGCACACCACCACGCCCAGTCTCAATGACCACCTCACCATGACACTGGGGTGCTGAGAACCCCAGCCCCTGTGCTCTGCCCAAGCAGGAACTTTAGTCCACTGAGCTATCAGGCCAGCCCTCAAGCCAGGTTCTTCTTGTTTTCTATCTTTTAATACCTGAAGAAAATTCTATTTTGAGAATTTAAAAACGATTTCAGTATTTCCCTATTGCTGACTATTTACGTTTCTATTATTCTGTTCTTACAATCCTTCCCACCCCTCAAACTCCTGGTTATTTTCTTAGGACAGATTCCCAGGAGGTATGTAATTATTTGGTACAAGATCAATATTTTTAAGGTTTTTCATACGCACAAACTAATTTTTTCCCTAAAAATCAGTACTAAATTACATCACTTGGCTCACCACATGCATGTTGGTGTTTGGTATAGTCATTAAAAATGAGAAATTGCTTGCTAATTTTATGGGCAAAAACAGCACTTCATTTTAATGTACTATTTTAGATATATTTGGTTACTGATGAAATTTATTTTTTCTTAGGGTTTGAAAAATATTTGTATATAAATGATAAGTATATACCTTTTATCCATTTTTCTACTGAGCTCTCAGCTTTATGTTTTCTTCATGATTGATTTGCATATGCCCTTGGTCATTTAAAAAAAAAATTCTGTGTTATTTTTGAGATTTAAAAAATGACTTGTGTCTATAACATTCTGGAGGCAGCCTGGGACTGGGCCCTGCCTGGGCGGGCGCTCCTGGGGGGCAGAACCCCGCTACGTGGTTCTTACCCACTTCCCCACCGGCCGGATGATTCTCATATCCAGCGCCACGGAAAAGGATGGCAGTGCTGCAAAAGCAAGGCTTGGCCCCCAGCCGTCTAAGAACATCCGTCTGACTCAGACCAGCTGGATGCTATTGGCCACATCAAGGCGGAAGAGTGACTTAATGCGATTTCATTGTGTTAGATGTCTACAGAGGTGATGCTTTTGGGTTTTTACGATAAAGACAAACAGTTGTGCACATGCACGTGTACCTGGGCTCATGCACATTTTGAATGGAGGACGCTTCTGGATATCGAGTCGGTGTCTGACAATCTGTAGGCATCAGCTGTCTGAGAGGTAGGTGGAAATGACACACCCGGGGGCCACTCATCAAGTACAGTGGAAAAATGACATCTTAGCCAGAAGCCACAGGGGGACAGGCAGCGCTGTGAGCTGTCTGGATGTGGTGACACGGGGTGTCCTTGGCACTGCATCAGCAGGCACCTCTGCTGTGACTTGAGGTCCGCAGCCCTCCAAAAGATGGTCTGATGCCCTTCTTTCTCTCCAGTTGCCTCCTCCAGCACCGGGGGTGGCTGACCTGGCACCTCTGACCTGGCACTTCATAAAATAGCATTGCCCGCCTCTAGTGAAGACTGCAGTGGAGGGAGCAGGCCACCAGGCTCTCCCAAGGTGCTACAGTTTTAATGCCTGTGAAATGGATCAGAACACAGGGGTGACAGCATACAGGAAATTCCGATGTTTAGCTAGAGCTGCTCTGAGTTCAACATCTACTGCGCCTTGGGTACCTTTACCATTCCGGGTGCTTTACAGACTCCGTCCAGCGGTGCCTTCCCAGCACCTCCATCAAGGGGGCAGGCAGGCCTTGTCAGAACCACCTCGCAGATGAAGGCACTGAGGCACAGAAACTGAGGGGCGTAAACTCGCCCAAGTTCACACAGCAGGTTATTTCAGCTATTTCAGATTCTGAAGTCCACATCCTTTTCCACTGTCTTCCCCTCATTTCCATTCAGGTCTGTGAATACATAACTTGGCTAAAGGTGGCCAGCACTCTGCTGAACAAATTTAATGCAAAATAATGAAGACTTAGGGAAGTAAATTTGGTGGGATTTTTCTGCTCAAACGACTGCACTGTGTGCTCAGTGATGCGCCGCCTCTGGACCGACATCAGGAGCAGCCACAGTGTGGCTCTGTGAAGCTGAGGGTTACCCTGGAGACCTATCTGTCCCTGGGATTCTCCTCTTGGTAATAAACTCACCTGCTTTAAACCCTAATAGTTCTGCCATTTGTATTTAAAATATTTGCTGGTAATGGACAGCTCCATGCTTTCTTCTGACTTGGAGATAAGGGGTTTCGTGGCTGAGGGGTCACATATCTGCTTCCCACCCCTTCCACGACACCAGCGTGCTTGTCAGTTTGCTGTACTTCAGCAGTTCTTGAAAAGCCTGGCATTGGGTAGCGTTAGCCACTCCCTGAACCCCCTCAGGTCAAGCATCACTGAAAATGCTCTCTAGGTGCTTTCCATCTCAGCGACAGTCCTTATTTGCCCCCTGAATGATGAGGGGAGGAAAAAACCCTCCACCCTGCCTTTGTTGTTCAATTGGTAGGGTCAGAGATCCCAGCCCACAAGGACACCCTTTCCATGGCTGAGAACCACAGCCCAAGACCGACTTCCCCTGTCTGGTTAGGGCTGCAGCCCCGCTTCCCTCAGAGCGTCCCGATGCTTAGGATGTTTCACTGTAGTTGGTTCTACATCCTTCCAGTACAACCATCTTGGAAAGGATCCCACAGCTGTGTAAGTGGCCAAGCCAGGGAGCAGGACTGTTTCCATGTCTCACTTAACATCCCTCATCCAGAGCTCAGAGAGGCCCTGCAGGTGACAGCACACAGCGAGTCTGTGCTGCTCCTGCGGGTCGCTGTCTTCCTCCTCTTCAGATCCCTGCCTCCAGCCATCCCCGAGAAGCAGGCATCACCTCCACGGGGCCCCTCCAATAGGCCAGGGCGCCGTGACCTGCACTCCAGCTGAGCAAGTCCTCACACTAGCATGGTGCATGGAGTTCAGTTGGGGTAGAGCTTGCTAGGAAGGTTACAAACCATGGCCACTTGAAGTTTGCCAGGCAGCAAGCATGAACAACAGGCAGAGAACCCTGTTAGCACTGACGGAGCTGCTGTATGAAATCTGGCCAGGTGCCTGAGGCAGGGCCAGAAAGCAGCCTCAACAAGTAGGTGGAGGAAAATGGGCTTAAATCCCCCATGGCCTGGTTTGACAGATGGACCTTTGGCCCTCCAGGACCCGGAATCCTTGGAGAGAGTGAATGTCTCTCACCAGCCCAGTCCCACCAAATACACACACCTGCACACTCTAACAAGTGTGCAACTGTCACACATCCACCACTCACCATGCTCCTCCATGCAAACATATGCAAGTACCATGTGCACACACATATTACATGCATGCATGCATGCACGAGCTCACCCACATGCAAACACCTATGTGCACACTCACAATGCATTCACATGTGTACATACTCTCATGCACACACATACTTACACATGTGCAACTCACACACATTCATCACTCACAATGCTCCCATATGCACACGTACACACATGCATGATGCACACACACATGCACACACATGCCCACATACACATGCTCTCTGCCATGCATGCACAGACATATGCATTCATGCACACACACAGAGTCAGCTTGCTTGCTGTCCCTCATTATAGGCTGTCCCCAAGGGACAGCATGGGTCAGCGAAGTCAGCCTCTCTCTACCTCGGTCTCCTGA